TGGTACAATGAAACTCACGTGAGTTGAAGGTTGTTGGGGTCTTTATTGTGCAGGTACGAGTGACTGGCTTAAACTGGTACCTAAATCTCTGCCTACTGGTTTCTTCGTGTGAGTTAAAAAAATGCCTTCTGGCTTGCTTAATTGTGGGAGGATTAGGGCAGACCCCTTCTAGGATAGGATGACCTCAGTGTCTTTGCAGGCAGACCTGAAATAACCTAACTAACTTTCCTGCCTACCTCTTTTCTAAGAGCCATGAACCCCCTTAAAATTAGTATGGTTGTTGAGGGACGGGAAGTCCCTTCTTCTGTATCTGCTTACTGCTGAGAATGGCTGTAGTTCCTGCCTATTGGGGTTTCATGGAGCTCTTTCTCTTTTTGCCTTAGTTAGGGTGGAGTCTTGAGTTTCCTGATGAAGTGCCACCTCAGTCCCTAGACAAGGAAAAGAAGATACAAATTTGTTATTTAAATCATACATCTATTAATTTCTATTATTGATTTGTCTATTAAGTGAGTAAAGGGAAATAGGCTTGGTTAATGTTTCTTAAAGAGTAAAAAGAAAGACCTTTGGTTTAAAGTTCCCTCTCCCTCTCAGACTCTAAGGGCCTCACCTGGCTTAATACCATTTCTGCTTAACAATGGGCTGATGACCCTTATCAATAGCCAGAGAATCTGAGTGCCAGGGCAATTATCAAGATTTGAGGGAGAGGACCTTTTTCCCAAGGAAGGAGAGGAAAATTTAACTAGGTTTACTAAAAAGATTAACTCTGCCAGAGATGTCCCATTTCATTTCCTGCTAAAAGATTAAGAATTTACAAGTGATGTCCCGTCTCAACACCACTGCACCGGGGGTTAGGATTTTAACATATGAAATTGGTAGTCATGGAGGGGCATAAACGTTCAGTCCAACAAGCATTGTGCCTGTTGCTATCAGGGTGTTTTTGCTTCTAAGCCCTTTCAGCTGACAAACCAATGTTTGGAAATGCTTTCTTTGAGGCAGATGGGTATATGTATTTTTACACTTTTATATTTCTTTTATCATTTCCATGTGAATTTGTGTCTGTGTCTGTTGGGAGGCAGTTGCTCAGTATGTGGGGGTCGGTTCCTCACTTAGAGAGGGAGGCGCATTGGACACCAACTACATGTTCTCCATTGGGTCTATGGGAATTAGACAGCTTAAGGCTTTCTTTTTGCTAGGAGATAATTCTCCAAGGATCTCTTGTGTTTCTTTACAAATGCAAGCAGAGGCACTCTCTTTTCACGGATGTTTGTTTAGTGAACAACAGCCTTGGAAGATATGTGTCTCTTTCTAGAGCTGGGGCAGATTTGTTTACTATCCAGCGTTCTGAGGACCGTGTCCCTCTCAGATATGCCTGAAGCCCATTGTGAAAGATTCAGGTTCTCCAGCTCAGGGTTCTTCAGCTGTGATGCCCGCTGTGTCTGGGCCACTCTACCCTGCCTCATAGCACTTGGGGCAAGAGAAACAACACAAACACAAAGCCTATCCTGCTTACCATGTTGTACAAAGTCCTTTGTCCCATTGTAAAGTCCAGAAGTCTTGGGTCCTCTGTCAGCTTCCATGAACTTGTGGAAACTAACTTATTAGCCTGCAAGTAGGGTCAACCTCGGCCTCTTAATAGATTTTGACACTTTTCCCCTAATTTAGGTTTAGCACTAGTAGTATTTTGATATTTCTCAGATAAATGTAAGGTCTTTTTTTTTGAGTTACCAGTGTTTAATAATATGTTTTTATAAATTTAAATTTAAAAAGTAAATTTAAAAAATATTTTAAAATAGACTCATGACTCATATATAATAAAATGAAAATTGTATTGGGTCATAAATTAAAGAGAAAACCAGCCGGAAGTCACAACTGATTCAAATAAGTCAAAGAATAATTTATGAGGAGTAAAAGAATGTTAAAATCAATTTACGAATGGCTTTTTCCATGGGGATATGGGGTGGGGTAATGGGGAGGAGTAAAGTGAAGTCTGTTGAAACTCCATCCAACAGATTTTATTTACATGTCATTAGACAAGAATTATTTGCATTGCTAGCAGCTATTCACAATTTATAGAGTTGTAAAATAATTCATACAAGAACAACACAAAATCCACAGAATCGGATAAACTGGAAAAGTGCACTGTAAACAATGCATAGTTTTCCATTGGCTACACACACAGTAAGTAATCTTTTTTGCTCAGTTCAAAGTCTTAAATTTTCCTTATACCAATAAAATGTACTATAAGAATGTTTCCAAGGTATTGATCCAATGTGGGAGAATTAGAAGGACAGGAGGTTTTTAAAAGTGGGATCTGAGAGAGCAGAGAGCCCTTCCTGAAACTCTTTGTAAGAGAGGAAGCCCTAAATGTTGTTGATTCAGGCAGTTCCCTCTATTGACCACTAGGTGTTGCTAAACAGGCATGAAGACCTGTGACAGGAAGTGAAGCAGAAGTGGCAGCATCTAATTCGTCTATTGTAATGTTGGCCTTACACATAGTAAGCATTCAATATATATTTCTTAAAATGAACTCTTTGGAACTCGGGGTGCTCTTATACTGTAGGCATCTAAGAAATATGGTATTTCGGAATAAGGATTCTTTAAGACCTCTGGTCATATGTATTAGGACAGAGGGAGAAAATATTACAAATTAGAAGTCACTTGGTTAATTAAACAAAAGGAAATAAATTTACTCATGAAATAAGACTTGGTAAATCTATGAACTGTTTCCATTTCCTGTGCAAATACAGACATAGCAAAATACTTGTGTAAGTGCAGACATGGCAAATCATGCTTTTATTTGTTTCTGTTTTGCTCAGGTGCCATCAAATGTTGGTTTTCTACTTCTATTCTCCAAAACTTTCTAATAATTTCCAACTGATTTTGGTGCAATTAGAAACTTATGGCCTATAATTCTACATAATCTACATTAGCATAAACTGAAAAGTGAAAAATAGAGGGGCAATGGCTGCTGGTTAGATATGGAGCTGGAAGGAAGGAGGAGAGTGAATCAGGAGCCTCTTAGAAAACTCCAAGAACAGATCTTCTTCCTGTCCCTGACTTTTCTGGTTCCTTGCATATCTTCTGTTAACATCTGTTGGTTTTGCCTGCGTAGAAACCTTTCACTCTGCTACTGATTTTATTTTGGGGACCGAGCTCCTCCCCCATTGGTCCAGGTCCTGATGGGGCTGTCAGACATGTGCTTTCCCCACAGTTGTCTGAGAGATAAGCACTAAGCCAAGCGAGGCCAATCAAAGGCCTGGTCCCTGGAAACTATTGTAGAGCCCGAAAACCACTGAAATTCTTTTATCTTGGTGTCTCAAAGAAACCACTCATTAGTTCTCGCTTCTTGGAACCCCACAGCTGCCCCGATTTATGTCCTTTCAAAGATCTGGGTCTGCGTTTTTCCTTTAAATCTTCTAGTAATTTCCTATTTGCCTGTATTAGTTAGAGTTGCTTTCTATTGACTGCAGCCAAAGAATGCTGACTGGTATGATGAGGAAAAGGAACTAATTGAAAACCTAATTCCATGGTTAGGTCTATAATCTCTGTTTACTATGATCCAGACACTTTTCTAAACATTTACAAGCATTATCTTATTTAATCTTCAGAATGACCAGATTGGACAGATGTTATTATGCCCATTTTATTAATGAGGAAACTGAGGCACAGAGTGATTAAATAGCCTGACCATTTTCAAATGGCCAGATTAACATTCTTGAAGTTTGTCATATAGAATACTAGTCTTTCAGAATTGTATTCGTTTCCTTCCTAGGGCTGCTATAACAAAGTACAACAAACTTGGTGGCTTTAAAGAACAGATATTTATTGTCTCATAGTTCTGGAGGTCAGAAGTCTGAAATCAAGGTGTTGGCAGGGCCATGTTCTTTATGACTGTTCTAGAGGAGAATCCTTGCTTGTCTCTTCTAGTTTTTGATGTTTGCTGGTAATCCTTGGCGTCCCTTGGCTTGTAGATGCATCACTCCAATCTCTGCCTCCGGTGTCAGGTGCCTTTCTTCTCTCTGTGTCTCACGTCTCTTCTTTAAATCCCTAGTCATATTGGATTAAGTGCCCACCTATTCATTATGACCTCATCTTAACTAATTACATCTGCAAATACCCTATTTCCAAATAAGATCACGTCCTAAGGTACTGGGAGTTAGGACTTCTTTTGGGGGGACACAACTCGACTTATAACAAGAATGTTAATAGAAATTACTTAGAAAAGAATCCTGTGGTCAAATAAATTTGGGAAACACAAGATTAAACACCATTACAATAGGATTCTCTGGTGTAGTAGTTTGGGAGCGTCTTTAATTTCTTAATCTGAAGGGAAGCCACCAAGCAGGGACTGTAATGTACAATTTCTCAAACATGCTTGAGTATGGATTTTTTTTTTTTTTACAAGCCTACTGTAGGGTTAGCATTCTGTGTGACGCATGGTTCTCAGGCCGATGGGAGGCAACAGCAACCTGGTGAGGTCCCTCCCTACTTTTCTGGTTTTGCCTCCTACCTACTGTGTCACCTTGAGACAACTGTTTTCTTTTCTGAGCATGAGTTTCCTAATGTCTAAGATAGAGACAATAATCCGCTTTCCCCTATGTGTTCATTGTAAGGACCATGGTAAGTGAGGCAGGCTAAAACACACCTCACAGAGTACCTGGCACAGAGAGAGGTAAGAATTCACTTAATAGTAGTTACCTTTGGTTTGCTAACCAGATGATTCTGAATTCCTTGGCATTTTTGTAAAGTATTTATAAAATCTCAAGAATAATTCCTAAGCAAGGACAATTTCCACCAATAAGTTTTTCTTGTTTATTTTTCTCTTTCTTTCACTGTTTTCTTTTTCTTTTTCTCTTTTTAGGAGAATGATTTTCTTTATGATAATCAGAATGTACCTTGGGTGAATATTCAACCCCACTATACTTTTAATAAATTTCCAACATTAGAAAAATATGGGGTGTTTCTCTCTGTAGTTCCTTATTCTGATCTTCCACCCCAGTGAGGGGAAGAGGATGTGATCATACAATAGACAGCAGACGGGAAATTGTGAAAGGGACCTCTGTATAGAAAAGCAGCCCACAACTGTCTCTGCTCTCAGAGGAGGTGAGCTTCTGAGACGACCGACTTGTCTGAGAGTGGACCCGGCTGTGTGTTTGTCTACCCGACATGGAACCAAAGCGGATCAGGGAGGGCTACCTTGTGAAAAGGGTAAGTAGAAGTGCCACCTACAAAGGTGTCACTGGAAATAGGGTAGGGGAGGATTGGAGTCCAGCTTTGCACTCTACCCACTCTTAGGAATGTTTAATGCTGAACTTCTTGGTTTGAACTAGGAGAACATCGCAGTATGTAGAATGTTTAGGGGGAAGCCAATACAGGTACCACTGCATTCTGGTTTTTAAAGGTGAACTAATCCAACTCAGGCATCAGCACAGCTTTATCTTGTGGGACTGAGAACTCCAGGCTGCAGGGTCTGGAAGATGGGGACCTAAGCAAAATCCCTCATGATTTACAGTATCCTTTTCACACATGTCTTCTATGCTAGAAGACTCAAACTCTTCTGCTATAGAGGTTACTTGAGGAGACTATTCATTTTTTATTTAAATTCCACGCCTCTATTTATTTATTTATTTTTTTTGAGGGGAGAAAGAAGAAAATGATTAAAGATGAGCTATATAATACTACTGTAATCATAGCTTATTTCTTGGACTTTCTTCTAGAATCGGTGCACTACAAACGTTATAATTTTTTAAGGGGCTGAAGTCTCTTCATTCACAATTCTTAATGAATTTGTATAATGTGCCGTTAAGGTAGTAGGTAGATGTACTATTTTAAAGATTGGAAAATGGGGACACAAATACCCTAAAAAATACTTAGTCTCAGTAGTGTGCCATCAGGAAATTGAATTTTGTTAGCATTGTTGGTTTTTCTTCTGATGGTGGGAGTGCGCCGTGTCACTGTGAAACTCCCCAGGGCGTTGAGTTCACACACAGGGTTCGTAGACATCCTGTGGGCAACACCTATATAAATAAGTACACTCATACTGATCCAAGTGAGCTAAGCTAGTCAGAAATGAACTGAATTCAGCCCATTCCTTCAGATGCCCAGCTTTTTAATTGAATAAATGCCTACCGTGACTGTGTTTTAGGCTGTTTGTTGGTTTAACATTTTAGTCAAAATGTTCTACTTATAAGAAGGTTAAACAGCACTCATTGCTGCCTGATTCTGTTTTGATTTAAAGCTGGAAGTGACCTTAGATCATCTGGCCTCCTTCCTTCACTCATTAACGGAAGAGGAACTTGAGATCAGGAAGCTGGGTGACTGCCCAAGGTCACATAGCTGGGACAATATTGGGGCAGAGACCCACTCTCTTGAGTTCTGGGTTTCTGACTTGTGGCACTGAGCTCTGTCCAGTATCCTAGGATTTTCTTCTGGTAAATTTTATCTAAGTTAGGGTTTGTAATGAACCTATGGTAATGAGAGGTATGAGTGGGTGCTGGAGAAGAAATAAGCCTAGGCTGATATTCTCTCTAGCTGGCATTATTTTGAAACATTCTTTGGAAAAGACACATATATGTATGCAGAGGTGTATGTAGATTCCTTACAATGGGCACCAATACTCTTTTTGAGAACCAATAATAGTTAATGTTGACTTGTTTCTTTCCTGAGCACTTGGGCTAGTATCCCAAGAAGAGCAGGTAAATGGAAACATCTTCTGCAAAGGTTATTATCATTATTATTTTTAACAATTTAAACATCTTCTAATAAAATTGTTCTTATTTTGTTTATCCACATTTTAAACTCCATAAATTACAAAAAATAAAAGACAAAATCTCTAATAAGTGAGGCCAACCTACTAGAAAATGGGGAAGAGAGAGGTAGGATTGTCAAGACTTAAATTAATAAACAGCTTTTACTCAGTGAGAGTAATTCTTTTAGATCATGGCTTGTAAAAGCCAATCTAGAAAATGTACCTAGAAAAAAACATGGTGAAATTTTATAGTGATATTTCCACAATTTTCATCTTCCATAAATCTTGCATTTTCTTTAGGACCTTTTGAACACTCCTTGTTGAAATGTATTAAGAGTCCTTAATTTGTTATTTAAAGAAATGCTTTGTTCAGAAGTGTTCTCTTTGTTGGCTGCAGAACTACACCTGAAATCAAAACTTCCCAGTAAGGGGCTGAAATTTTTAACTTCTTTAGATGTTAAGATGTTAAGTTTCTTTCAGATACTTCATATATGTGGGTTTAAAACTATAAATGTCAGGAACCTAGCACATGGTAGGTGCTACATAAGTGAAAATAATTATTAGTATTAGTGTTGATACACACTTCAAAATATAGGGGTGTTCTCCTAGATCATGGAGACATATACTGGTTCCCGGGCTGGTTGTCAAGTTAATAGTGAAGAAAGGACCAAGAAAATCTTCTTCTGACAAGGCTATGATTATCTTTCACTATGGTTTTGATGTTAAAGCATAACAGACAGTAATACCTGACTTTCCCTCCATGCACCTTTTTTCTTATGCTGTTTCATACACCTGGGTGCTCATAAGGAATATCGTTCTCTTTATTTTTGTTTTATGAAGTAATTTTATTGGAGATAAAGATCTTTTGGGTGTAAAAAATATAACATTAGAAAACTCTAGAGCAAGGATTTTGTCAAGTCCAAATCTTGGGGTCAAGTAGTCAATGGCATTGACTATAAAATGTTTCTGCTTTTCTTCCGTGCAAGATAACTATCCACATTTCACTATTTATGTTTCCCTCGTTGCCCTGCCTAAGATCTTTAAATAGAAATGATGGTTAAGAGCAGGAGTGAAAATACATGGTTCTGTCATTTTGCAACTTTTTTATTTTAAGTAACACCCAGATTTCTTTGCCTCAGAGTTTTGCTATTTTTGACTTAAAGAAAAAGAGCACTCATGTCTACCATGTAGTAGCCTGTTGCTACATGAGCATTATTTCATTCAATCCTAACCACCTTATGCAATAGTAGCCTTATCCCCATTTTACAGATAAAAAAAATTGAGGCCCAGAAAGAGTAAGTGATACGCCCACAGTCAAGCAACTGGTGAAAAGAAGACTTGGGATTCAAACCCAGGCTTTTCTAACAGCAAAGCCCACTGTCTTATTGATTCCATATAACATTCTAAAAGTCAGGCTTACCCAAGCCAGAGAAAAGGAGTCAGATAAATTTACCAGAGCCAGAGTGGGGCTTGGACAAATTTTATTGGGAGTAAGATTGGGTTTTATGACCTCAGGCTCCCTTTCTTTCTTTCTTAGGAGTTATTGCCAATGAATAATCATTAATATCTTTTGGAGGTCCTACTGATTTGAATATGTTTATAATCAAAAAAAGGAAGAGGAGCAGGTAACACAAGCAAGAACCCGGAGTCCACTGAGCCATGTCTCGAACCAACCTAATTCCTAGAGGTTTATGGAGCACACTGTTGTCGAGAGTTTGGCAACCAGTTCAGAAGGTGCTTCATGCAGCAGGACTGACTCAAACTGTGGCTCAGGGACCTGGGTGGCCTGTGAGGCTGGGAGAAAGCACAGGAGTCGGGGCACCCAAGGAAAAGTGGCTCAGGTGGGAAAGAAGAGGGCCTGCAGAGAACTGCAGTAGAAGAAGGAAAGCCTACATTGAAGAACAGGAGTCAGGCATCTCAGCCCAGGACTTCTCTCATACAGCTGCCTTGTCTTCGGAATACAATACCATAAAACAATCCCCAGCAATCTGCACCCCCATCAATTTACCATCATCATAATAACTAATACATGTGGTGCTCACCTTCAGCAGGGACAAATATGAGCATTTAATGCATTAAAGTGCTTAATACTTATAACAACCCTATAAAGTAGGTACGGTTACTAGCCTTACTTGACAGATGAGGAAACTAAGGTACAGAGAGACGAAGAGGATTGCCGAGGGTAAAACAGCTGTTAAGTGGCAGAGCTGGGCTGGAACCCAGCAGTGTGACCCCAGTGTCACACAGAGCAATGCCTGACCACATTACAGGGGGCTCTCATGGGCTTGTATTGCAGTGATTTTCTTTTTTTGAAGCACTGTTGTTGTGATGGGTGATGCTCAGAAGAACCTTATGCCAGAAGGACATCACAGAATTGCCTGCAAAACTGTATAATCTTATGTGTCTATTTGGTAACCACTTTTGAGCACCTGCAATGAGCCAGCCAGTGTGCTAAGACCTTTAAGTGTATTATCTCATTTAATCTTTACAACAGTGGGAAATAGGTACAATAATGTCTTCATTTTTCAGGTAAGAAGACTGATGTTTGGGAAAATTAAGTAACTTAACTTATAGCCACACAGCCTGGAAGAGGCAAACTCGAGGTTTGAACCCAAATTCCTAAGATGCCCAGAAATCATGTGGTTAAGCAATTGGTGCCATTTCTCTATTGCTTACCAAGTTTTTATTGAGAAATTATCCAACCTGAAAAAAATATACTGCTGAATAGATTAGTTTCCTTGCCTTCAAAGTATTTAAGTAGGCGCAGAGTGACCATTTATCTGGGATGTTAGACAAGTGATTGCATGGATCAGGTTGGAAAACTAGAAGAAACAATTTACAATGCAGCAGAAATAAGGACTTAATTTAACGCACTATCAACTTAAAACAACATGCCCCATGAGTGTGGGAGAATGGATGACACTAACTCACACTTCTGCTTTAGTTAGATACGTAGTTTTGACCATAATGTAATTTTCCTTTGAGTTTCAGCTATACATCAACATATGAAAAGAGAAGTTTGAGGGAAAGGAGAAGTTAAAAGAAATGTCTCCACTCTGTGGGAGGTGCCTGGGAGGGGTTCTAAACACCAAAATAAAGTTGCCCCAACCCTCAGCAGTGAGTTGTGGCTCCTTTCAGCGTAGCTGCACATACACAGGAAGGCATGCCCCAGTTTGTGCATTTATCACACTGAACCGAAGTGTTCTACCAAGGTTGCTCTCTCCCCCTGTTAGACTGTGAACCGTTTGAAAGTAGAGACTGTGTCTTGTTTATTTTTACACTCCAACACTCAGGCCACTGTCTTAAGTGCAGGAGATGCTCTCGTTATTTGTTGAATGAACATGTCTCAAGCAACTCGCTAAAAGAGACTCACAGAAACCAAGGAATCAGGGGTCCATATTATAGTTACTTTTAATGTAGCAAAAATTTCCAGTGGGGTATTCATTTTTAGATGATCATGTTAAATACATGTTTTAGAGTTATTTATTTTTGACGTGCAGGAGAGACTCAGGGTTGGCAGGGATACCTAGAAATTGAAGATTAAAGGAATAGTAGGGACAACAGGCTTTTTGGGATAGATATGTAGAATCTGAATGGAATGTAGAATGGAATGTTAAGTTTTGAAGTAAGTATTTAATTGAACTTCCTACCTGTGGTCTGCAATTTTTTGCTATTTTGTTATCGAGCATGCTTAATGCTTCTTGTGTTAGGAAACTTACTAATTTAACTTTCTCTTTTAAGTTATGCAGGAAACTGTCCCCCCACCCCAAACTTCCACCTCCTGGGATGTCAATCTATGACAATGTTTTTCATATCTTTGAAGACAGTCCTCATTTGCTCTGCCTGTGTCTTTTCGGGCTAAAACCTAGTCAGTTACCTCAACAATTTCCAGAGAGATGCTATCTTGTCACTATCTTTTGAACAGGCTCTGGTTTGTCTGCAGTTCTGAGGTTTCCTGAACTTTAGGTCGTTTTTCAGGTGCACCTGATACGCACAGAATTACAAGGGTTCGGTAGTATTTATTAAGTGCTTACTATGTTCTAGATACTGCCCTAAGAAATTTACATGAATTATTTTATTTAATCTCCCAATAACCTTAAGAAGTTGAGAGTAGCATTATCCCCATTTGCCAGATGTAGAAAGTGAGGTAGAAAAACTTGCTTGAGGTCACATTGCTAGATTTGAGCCTGGGCCCTTCAGCTCTGGAGCTCATGGTCACCTACTGGTTATGCTCCAATTAAGGTCAGAATATTACTTTCCTCACTTTAGACTTTATGCATCTATTTATAGAGCCTACAGCAAACTTAATTGTTTTTCACAGCCTACATCAAACTGTTGACTCATACAATTCTTTTTCCCCAAATCTTCACCGATACATTTTACAAATCTTAAGAAAAAACTTCTTAAAATTTTTTCTTATTTAATTTTAATTTGCATTTCTTTGAATGCTGTTGAGGCAGTACATTTTTGTGTTTATTGAGTCTGAGCATTTCTCCTTTTGGGAATGCCTGGTTTATATTGTTTGCCCATTTAAAAAATTGAGAGTGTTTGTATGTTTCTTACTGATTCTAAAGAGTTTTTAAAAACATATTAAGGCTATTAACCTTTAATTATATGATAATATGCTACAAATATTCACATATTTTAATTTGCAAGGTTTTTTTAATGTACCGAAGTTTAATTTTTATATGGTCAACTACCTTTGGTGTCGTGCAATGTCAGACTCTTATGCACTAAGCTTTACCAGTCTCATGATGATGAACAGTTATTCACTGGGAAACTTTAACAAACCTGACCCAGCATCTAAAACCCACCTATTGTGACA